GGATTATAGCAGTTTGCTCGAGTACCGTACCCCGGAGTCTGATCAGACTTATTTAAAGCCTCTAGCTCAACGTCTGATGAGATTTAAAGTCACCAGCTCATCGAAATACGATAAAAATCAAAAATTTGTAGATTCTGGATGTCACAACAGATAAGGATTAAAGAATTTAAACGAAAATCAAATCAGAAAAAAATTATTTTATTGAGCTTTCTGTTTAGGCTGATTTAAAGCCTCTAGCTCATCGAAATCCAATAAAAACTAAAAATTTGTAGATTCTGGATGTCACAATAGATAAGGATCAAAGAATTTAAAAGAAAATCAAACCACAAAAAAATTATTTTAGTGAGCTTTCCGTTCAGGCCCCTTTAAAGCCACCAGCTCATCGAAATCCAATAAAAACTAAAAATTTGTATATTCTGGATGTCACAACAGATAAGTATCAAAGAATTTAGACGAAAATCAAATCAGAAAAAAAAATCATTTTAGTGAGTCAGAGTTGAACTTTTTCTGTGTCCGGAATTCGGGTTTTAACAAAATTCCCGGGAAAAGGCCCAAAGAGTTTTTAAAAAGAGGAAAAGTTCCTCGAAAGCGGGGATTGAATAAGGGACAGGAGACGAGAGCGCGAAAATCGACGGCCTTTTATATCTTCGGACTGGCGACCGGGAAGAGAGGGGACTGAGCGAATTTCTCGCCTCTAGCCTCTGCGTTTTCATTTTTCTCTCACCCATCCGCTAATCTGTCTGTCAAAAGAGTGTTCCCTGTGTTTATCGCGGGGAATTTTCAGCGCCTCCACTTTTCAGTGTTACCTCACCAAAGGGGACTGGGTGATTTGCTGGCCTCTCCTCTCTCCAACTTGGCTCAAACTTTTGCATCACTCTATCTGTCACGCACGGCACCTTTTTGAGTGATTTTGGTGTTCTCTTCGTGTTCACCAATCTTTTCCACTTTTTTGTTTCGCTAAGACAGAAAAGGGAAAAAAATGAGAGAGATTTTAATTTCGACTCGAATTTCGGAGAGGAGATCGATGGGGAGAGGCTGGGTGAGAAGGAGAGGCTGGGTGAGAAGGAGAGGCTGGGTGAGAAGGAGAGGCTGGGTGAGAGGAGAGGCTGGGTGAGAGGGAGAGGCTGGGTGAGAAGGAGAGGCTGGGTGGGGGGCTGGGTGAGAAGGAGAGGCTGGGTGAGAAGGAGAGGCTGGGTGAGCTGGAGAGGCTGGGTCAGCAGGATATCCCTGACAAGGCGGGGTCTGTATCAGCCTATAAAACGCCTAGCTGACATGCGCACGAGAACCACTGACACCCAGCATCCGACAGTCCACAATCAGTTCAATCCTCGCGCCTCCAGCGCCGCTCAAACAGCTCCGATCCATCATCAACGAAGTGATCAGTGAAACTATTGATAAATGGAGGATTTTTTTGAATAGTATTCTAGCATGACATCCAGCTTGGGCAAAAATGAGAAAAATTTTGAGTTCTGGTAGAATTGGGGCGAGTTCTAACGAGCAACTCGATCATGCAACTCTGACTCGCTTTTTTGTTGTTATCAATGAGTTAAATTACGCTAAATTACAGTGTGACATCCAGGATGGACAAAAATACAGTAATACCTCGATTATTGTAGAAAAAGGAGCACAATTTAGGGGACAACCGGAACGAGTCCATGTGATTTTTCAAATGCTTTCAAAAGTTCCCAATTCCAGACGATTTTCAAGAGTGACATCCAGAACGCGCAAAAAAAGTTCTCAAAATTTGTAATGACGAAAAGAAATTGGAGAAAACGGTGTGAACGGGTAAATGAGGCGAAATTCATCTTTAAAATGTTTTTTTGTTAAAGAAAAAGAATTAAAAATGATAAAAGTTTTGTTTTAGGTTAAAGATTGAAAAGATTTTTAATAGAAAAAAGCCTTTTTTCAACTGATTTCCGCAAATTTTTATCTCAATTTCCATGATCGAAAAATTTTCGCCAAAAAATTTTCGCCAAAAAATTTTCGCTAAAAAATTTTCCCTGTCAGCTGATCAAAAAAAAAAACGAAAATTTCATGTTGACAATGTTTTTCTGATCTGTTGACATCAAATTTGGAGAAATAACGAAAAATATAAAGATATAAAGTTTTGCTGACGTAGCGCAATCCGGTTTGCGGGGTGACTAGCGAAAAAGTGACCCTGGTTCGCGTTCGACGCCAGCATTTTTCAAGGAAACAAATTTTCACCTAATCCAGCATTCTATGTGCCTTCCAACTTGAGACTTTTGTTTTAGGAAAACCTCTAATTCTAAACCATAAGCCCGGAATTTAGCCATTCTCAATTCAACGATCGAGATCAGCGCTTTTCCACGGAAATTCCACCGAAAAACGAGAAAATGGGAATGAAAAGCGTAAAATTTGGAACGCACTTAGCGCTTTGAGACTATAAAAATTGAAGTTAATCATAGGGAAAAAAAAGTGGGAAAATTTGTGCAAAAAAATTTGATTGAAAATTTGACTAAAAATTTTTTTCAAATTTTTTTTTCAAAATTTTTTTTTCAAATTTTTTATTTCAAATTTTTTTGGACCACTTGGTTGTCAATATTTTTCAGAGAAATTTGCAAATAAATTCGATTTTTTAAATCTAATATTGCTTTTCTATTGGTTTTTTGTAAAATTTAAATCGAAAAATGAAAAAAATGATCACTTGTTGGTCTCTTTTTGAGGGTAAATATTTTTGAAAAAGCTCATTTTAAAGAATTGCGAACGCCTCGTGGAGTCGAATTTTGCAAAAAAAGCAAAAAACAAATCGCCGACGCCAAGAGGAATCGAACCAGGGTCACTCGACCTGGAAACGGCGCCCACCACCACTCGGCCACCAATGGAATGTTTGAATTTCAAAAAACTGAGTTACTAGGCAAATTTTGTGAGGTCCAGGATAAGTGAAAAACAGATCGAAACTTTCGATTTCGCTCAATTTCACGAGAAAAAGCGCCATTCTCAAAAATTTGTCCCGAGAATTGAGAATGGCTTAATTCTTGAATTTCTAGAAGGCGAATTGATGGTTTTCTGAAATTTATCTTACAAATTGGAACGCAGCTCGAGTGTTGAAAACAATTTTTCGTGGATTTGACAAAAATGAGAATTACAATTTCTGTGTGATTTTGTGATTTCGGTAATCTTTCGGTTTCGAGCTAAATCGCCATAATTCCCACCGGAAATCGGCCGATTTACAAGAGATTTGCATATTTTCGAAACCGTTAGCCTGTTGCTGACGTTTGGAGCCAGAGAAAGTAAAAGTTTCAAGTTGAAAATTTCCAGAGAACTTGTCAAAATCAAAAGTGACTAAAATTTGTCAAAAGTTCCCCGAAATAACTGAAACATTCAAGTTGAGCTCCAATTTGAATATTGTTTTCAGAAAAAAATAAGAATTTTCTCAAAAAGAGCTAGAAAAGTAGCCATTCTCAAGTTTCAAAATGAGAATGCCGCTTTTTCTCGGGAATTAGGTGATCGAATAAAATTTTGACCTATTTACCGTATATCCTGGACAGCACAAAAATTGCCTGATAAGTCAGTTTTTCGAAATTCTAACATTGCAATGGTGGCCGAGTGGTAGTGGGCTCGGTTTCCAGGCGAGTGGTCCGGGTTCGATTCCGGGCCGGGTCAAAGTCTTGGAATTTCATTAAAATGCATTGAAAAACATAAGAAACTAATAAATATGTATCAGAAGTGCAATAAAATCAGTTTTTCTCATTTGAAAAGCTATTTTTAGCCAAAAAAAACTAAAAATATTTCAAAAGCGAAAAAGGGTAAATAAAATTCGCAAATCTTTTTCTATTTATATACTATTTCCGTTATCTTATCACCATTTTTCTGTCTTTTTTCCTCCTTTTCCTTCTCAGTTTGCCTTTTTTCGAAGGCACAAAGTCGGGAAAAGACCCTTGGAGTCATAAAAATCGCTCTGATTGACTTCACTACAATTTCTCAAATATTTTCGCATTTTCCATGATTTCTTTTCAACTTTTCATCACATCTGGATGTCACTAGAAAGTTTAAAAAAAGAATTGAGCTTAATTTTGAAAATCCAGATTAACGGAGTAGTCAAAAATCGATTTCACCCCATTTTCTAGCAATTCCGTCAACTTTTTGAGACCCAAATTTTCCCATTCTCCAAGCTGGATGTCACTAGAAAGTTTAAAAAAAAGAATTCGACTTCATTTTTCAATTTGAAATTTTTTCCATTTTAGCTCGATTTTTTTCCTCAACTTTTTAAGCAGTTAACTTCATTTTTAAAAAAAATTTTTATTTTTTCTTTAATCCTGGATGTCAGCACGAGGTTTAAGACAAAAATAAACTACAGTAATCGAAATTTTTAGAAAGCTACAGTAATCCCTGAGTTTGGGGTGCGACCCGCTTACGTTTATGGCTTACGGTAGCTTACGGTAGTTTATGGATTACGGTAGCTTACGGCTTACGGTAGTTTATGGCTTACGGTAGCTTTGGTAGTAAAAAACAAAAAGCTATGCTATGATGATTCTGCTTAAGAATGGCCGAATAGCACAAAAGGTTAAAAAGGGTTTCCCCCAAAGGCGCTTACAAGAACACGTAGTATCCAACAATCGATTAATACTCTTGAGAAGAGTACAGATCGGATTGATTGATCGGTTGATGGTGACACAAATGTTAGTAAAACCCGTCGCTCTACAATGTTAAACCAGTTATCTAAACAGGATTTAAAACCCTGAAGGGTAGGAAACGGACGCGACGTATTTTTTCTTCAATCCTGGATGTCAGCACGAGATTTAAGACAAAAATAAACTACAGTAATCCAATTTAAAAAAACTACAGTAATCCCTGAGTGAAGGAGGTGATTTTAATTGAAATTTACATTTAAACTTGATAAATTTTGTAAATGCTATTTTTTTGGAGAGCTATTTCGGCTGGCAGGCTGGAAAAGGCATTCATTTGAGGGCTAAGACGCAGGCGGCTAAGGCAGAAAATGCTCTCATTTCTTCCCCAATAACCCCAGCGATCGCCGGGAGATGACGCAAGTAAGGCAGAGCGTGAGATCACCAAAAAACAACGCCCAGCACTGATAAAACGGACAAGAGTTCCGCGAATTTGCAAAAATTGGAGGGCACACGGGTTTTCCGACAACTCAGATTCGTTTTTTCACCGAGATTCTGTAGATTAATCACGACGGATCACGATCACCCCCAAATCTAGCACACTGGCGCGTTTTTCGAAACTTTCAAAAGCTTTTCTGGCTTAGCTGGAAGTCAGCGCAGAAGTTGAGCAAAAGATTTTGTAGAATTGCTGTGATTTGAAAAATGTCGAAAGCCAACGTACTTGATCGTCGCCAATCTGGCGCACTGGAGCTTTATTTTAAAAATCCGAAAGCCGTTTTGGCTTAGCTGGAATGCACGATAGATATTGGAGAAAGAGTTTCGAAAAAAAACTCAATTTTTAAAAAGTCTCACAAACTACCGTACTTGATCGGGGCGAATTTGGCGGAAAATCGGCCTCGTTTTCGAGCCACTCAAAGCAAGTCGGCTTTCCTGGAGTGCACACGAGCAATTCCGAAGTTACTGGATTGATTCGTGGACTTTTAGGAAATGTCTCAAACTACCGTATCCCAGAGTACTGTATAGAAAAGTTGTGACTACTTTGCATTGATCAAAAAATTCGTCACTTGTCACTTTTCGTGGTTTTGATGACTTTTCATCGTTTTTTATCTTTAAGCAAAAAAGAAAAAGTGGTCAGAAACTACAGTATGACGGGGGATGAGTCGAGAAAAGTTTGCGGGAATTGTAGAGCCACAAAGCGGTTTCGAAAATATTCAGAAGGGATTTTGGTCTAGCTGGAGGGCAACTTAAAAGCCTAGTAATAGTTTTTGTGAAATTTTCGGAATTTGAAAAGTAGTCGATCGTACCCCGATCGAGCTGCTCTCAAATTCAGCGCCCTGAAGCTTCATTTTAAAAATCTAAAAGCATTTCTGCTCTATCTGGAAGGCAGCACAGAAGTTGAGCAACAGTTTTGGACGGAAAGCTAAAGTTTAGAAAAGTGTCTCAAGATACCGTACACGTTTGCGCATAATCTAGAGCTCTGGTGCCTCATTTTCAAAATCTAAAAGCATTTCTGCTTTATCTGGAAGGCAGCTAAGGGATTGAGCAACAGTTTTGGACGGAAAGCTAAAGTTTAGAAAACTTGTTTCAAGCTACCGTATTCATTCGCACATAATCTAGAGCTCTGAAGCCTCATTTTAGATATCCAAAAGCATTTCTGCTCTATCTGGAAGGCAGCACAGAAGTTGAGCAACAGTTTTGGACGGAACGCTAAAGTTTAGAAAAGTGTCTCAAGCTACCGTATCCCAGGCACTGTATAGAAAACAACAATAGCTAGCAATAGCTAACAATATCTAATTGTAAGCTAAAATCATATCCCATGCTGAAAAAGCTTTGCCCCCGAGCAGATTAGATCAAAAATCAAGCAAGACAGATCAGAATCTAGGCAGAATCTAGCTAGCTCAAGGCCATAACGACTTTGCCACAATTTTCCGCTAATTTGTGGGCTTTTGCTGGAATTTTCTTTCGGTTTTGTTTCTTCTGGATGTCAGTACAGGGTTTAAGCCAGAAATTAGACTAAAATCTCGAAATTAAAAACACTGACTTTTAAAACGAAGCCTAAGGTCCGGGTGAAGAAAGGCTAAAAAAGAAAGCCTAGAGATTAGCCTAGCTTAGAGTCAGCCATCAGCCCCAACAAGCCTACCAACAAATCAAACCCATTTCCAGCGTGGTCTCAGCCTTGGCGAGCGCCAGAATTTGTTGATGAGCGGTGAGAGGAGACGAGCGAACACGATGGTGCGCACGAATGCCGTTTTATCGCCGAATGCGCCCGTTAAACAGGTAAAAATGGCCCCAATAGGGCCGCGAATTGACCCCGCATCGAACCCACCACCCTTTTCTCCCTAAAACTGCCCAAACCCAATGCGCCATTATGAAAAAATCGACTTCACTGCAATTTCTCTAATCTCTTATCAGTTTTCTAAAATATTTTCAGCTTTTCGTCGTATCTGGATGTCACTAGAAAGTTTAAAAAAAAGAATTGAGCTTAATTTTGAAAATCCAGATTAACGGAGTAGTCAAAAATCGATTTCACCCCATTTTCTAGCAATTCCGTCAACTTTTTGAGATCCAAATTTTCCCATTCTCCAAGCTGGATGTCAGTTGGAATTTTAAAAATGGCAGGTTCCCAAAAATGTAACCCTAAACTTAATTAGTAGATCTATGCTAATTCTACCGTAATCCTTTACTACTAAATGGAGATACTGGCCAGTTTTTAATAACTAGGATTATCCTGTGCATTCCAGAATGCCCAAATTTCTCTTTGAAATTCAGACTGCTCAACTTACTAGTGCAGGGTTACGGTAGCTATGATACCGTAATCCTTCACTACTAAATGGAGATACTGGCCAGTTTTTAATAACTAGGATTATGCTGTGCGTTCCAGAATGCCCGAATTTAGATCTTAAATTCAGATTGCTCTGCTTATTAGCTAAGAATTACGGTAGCTACGAAATTTCCTTATCCTTTCTTTCGTTTCCAGTGCGTTTAGGGGATTTTTGCAAGGATAAAGTGCAAATTTGAGATTTTCAAAGCTTTCAAAGCTTTCAAAAGCTCAAAAGTTTCAAAGCTCAAGCTCATTTTATCCGTTTTCAGTATCAAAAAGAGATGATGGCGAAAAAGGTGAGTGTTTTTTTTTGGGGAATTTAAGGGAAATCTTTATGCAAATTTTTCTGCAAATTTATATGCAAATTTTCCGAAATTCAAAACTTTCGCTAACTCTCGAATCACTTCTTTTTTTCCCCTGTTTAGATTTGAAATTGAAATTGAATTTTCCCTGAACAATTGCCCATTTCCAGAACTCGTCTCCTTTGCCGCAAGAGCGCCGCTCGATTTACACGAAGGATCATCTGTACTCGAAATCGTGGAACCCGGATTTGCAGTGAGTTCAATGCGATTTTACGCTTAAAAAAACGCTTTTTTTTGCGATCCTGGAAGGCACAGAACAAAAATATTAAGAAATATTGATTTTTGTGATAACGAGAAAATTTTGAAGTTGAAGTTGCGTAATTGAACCGAAAACTCCAGGCCCTCATTTTGGCTGATTCAAAGCTGAAATTTGCATATTTTTTGTAATTTTTGTGAATCCTGGAACCCACGAGAGCTATTGTTTTCAAAAAATGGCTAAAAGAGATAAATCGGCTTTGAGTCGAGTGGCGGTTTGAGTTCTAGCTGTGCAGTCCGATGCAATCCAAATTACAGCGGTTCTTTTGTGATTTTTGAGAATCCTGGAACGCACGGGGGCTATTGGTTTCAAAAAAATCGCTAAAACGAATAAATCGGGTTTGGTCGAGCCGCGGTTTGAGTTCTAGCTGAGAAGTCCGATGCAATCCAAATTACAGCGGTTTCTTTTGTAATTTTTGTGAATCCTGGAACACACAGGAGCTATTGGTTTCAAAAAAAATGGCTAAAAGGGATAAATCGGCTTTGGTCGAATGGCGGTTTGAGTTCTAGCTGAGGTCCGATGCAATCCAAATTACAGCGGTTCTTTTGTGATTTTTGAGAATCCTGGACCGCACAGGAGCTTCTGGTATCGCTAGACTTTCCAAAAACCCATTTTCAGCTATGACGACGAGGAGTCCTATCAACAAGCGCCGAGCACCGCCGCCACGAGATATGGGGCGACTAATCAAGTAGCTAGATAACTAAAATAACGAAATCCGTTTTCAAATGTTTTCTAGACTCTTCCCTATTCGCTATTTCCTTCGACAAATCCTGCGCAGCCTCGCCGGACCTCAAACTCGTACCATCTCAGTGTTCGGCAACCATTTGAGCGACAGGTGGATAGATTTTGATTTTTAAAATTTAAAAACCCCATTCTGGAAGTCACACTTTCAATTCATAATGCCAGAAAATTGAGTTTTCCATGAAAAAAATTCAATCCGAATTTTAGGCAAAATCTTTTGACGAGTGGGCAAACGAACGAATAAGCGGATGGACGGAGAGGAGGAGTCTCAGTGAAAGAGAGGATGGCGTGAGGGAAGGCATCCAACGACAAACCAATCAGCAACACGAGGAGGCACTCATTGCTGGGGTGAGCTGGAGTGGTATTAGAGAGTACGGTAATGGTTGGCGAGCTCGACTTCTAGTTGCTGGCTTTTCTAAGTTGACATCCAACTAAGTGAATGCCAAAGTTTCGCGAGAATCGATCTACTAGGAGAAAAGTTATGACAGTGAACTCGTTCGTGAAGCGAAGCGCTCTCTAGAATAAAGCTGGTTCTCCAGCCGGGCTACCGTAGTCTTCCTGGAGGTCACTGGAGGTCGGTAGTTTAAAAAGACATCACTTTCAGACAGCGATCGCTCACCAATGTCAAAGTTTATGGGAGGCGAGGAGTCATTTAGAGCATTTGAGGCGATTGGGGATTGAGGATCCATCATCGGCGAGCACGTCATTCGAAAGTAATACAGGTACGCAATAGGAATAGGAATAGGAATAGGAATAGGAATAGGGATAGGAATAGGGATAGCAATAATAATAACAATAACAATGACAATAACAATAACAATAACAATAGCAATATCAATAGCAATAGCAATAGATACAGTACGCTCATTTCTACGATCCTGAATAGCTACAGTAACCTAAGAAAATTATAATTTAATTTTGATCCTAGAGGCGACTCTCGTCTCGCCACGAAACACTCCAAGGAATGGACGAGAGAGTGTCGATGAGCGGAGGAATAAATATCGGTATGTTTTAGCAGCTGAAACAGCTAACAGCTAACAACTGAAAAAAGCTGCCTAAATTTACAGTAACCAAGCGAAAAATTCACAAAAAACCCGAAAAGCAACAAAAAGCTCCAGCCAACCGGATTCGAACCAGTGACCTAAGGATAGCTGCTCGCTCTACAGTCCTCCGCTCTACCAACTGAGCTATGGCTGGATGGGGAAAGGGAGGGGGAAATCGGATTTGAATGGGGAATTCAGAGGGAAGCATGGGGACTAGTTTTTAAAATGGACAAAGAGCTCTGAAAACGTCAAGAAATCAAAGTGTGACCTCCAGATCGCGCGGAAATTTTAGAAAGAAGTGAACAGGAAGAACAGGAAGGCCAAAAGATCGTTGAATCATTTACTCAACCCGAGACTTTTCCACTAGATATTCGAAAATAAATTCCTTGAAAAATAGAAACTGTGCGCTCCAGATCGCGGGAAATTTTGAAAACCGATGAAAAAAAGGAAAGTCTCGGCGGGGAAAGCAAGCGAAACGAGTTCACTCGATTTCCCTCGTTTCTACACCAAAAATCCCTGATTCGAACTTTAAAAGCCAACGATCTGGAGTGCATTTCAAAAATCAAACCCAATTTGGGAAAGAAAAAATGAAGTTATTCAGGCGGATAGTACTGGACAATAAAATATGATATTTGAAAAAAGATCGTAAATTTTGCAGTAGTAGTACAGTAGCTACAGCTACAGTAACTACAGCTACAGCTACAGTAACTACAGCTACTGCAGCTACAGCTACGATAAAAAGCTACAGTAAGCGGAATTTTGCAGCTGGACAACAATTTCCACACAAAACGTACAAATAATCTGTTGCTTAAGTTGGCAAATTTGTAAACGCTTACTTTCTGGTGCAGTCTTTTCACGAAATTAGGTTCAGTTTTTCGGTAGAAAGATTCGGGAGTGGGAAGTGGGAAGTGGGAAGTGGGAAGTGGGAAGTGGGAAGTGGGAAGTGGGAAGTGGGAAGTGGGAAGTGGGAAGTGGGGAGTGGGAAGTGGGAAGTTATTCAGGCGGATAGATTTTTCTAGTCGTTAGTGTCAGAAAAATGGAAATGATTTGAGTTCTTTGAGTTCTTTTAGTTCCCTCTTCCTTCAACGGAAAACCCTTCCCGGTCAAAGAGTCGACAGCATCGAATCGACTTTTTCGAATGACTCTTCAATGGGTTTTGTTGATGAAATGAGAAGAGCCACCCTTGCACAGATTACTTCAATCGACAGTGGAGGTCATTTTTAGAGCACTGAATTGTCTAGTGACCTCCAGAATCCACAAATATTCATCTAAAATTGAGACTGTTCAAATTGCTAGTGAAAGATTACGGTAGCTATGATAATTCTACAGTAACCTTTTACTAGTGAGGAAACAAATCGATATTTTATGCTAAAACTGTCCTGTGCCTTCCAGAACTCCCAGATTTCTAACCAAAATTCAGACTGTTCAAATTACTAGTGAAAGATTACGGTAGCTATGATAATACCGTAGCCCTTCACTACTAAATGGAGATACTGGCCAGTTTTTAATGACTAGGATTATGCTGTGCGTTCCAGAATGCCCGAATTTCTATTTGAAATTCAGACTGCTCAACTTAGCAGTGTAGGATTACGGTAGCTATGATAATTCTACAGTAACCTTTTACTAGTGAGGAAAAAAAATCGATATTTTACGCCAAAATTGTCCTGTGACTTCCAGAACTGCCAGATTTCTAACCGAAATTCAGATCGTTCAAACGAGAATGCGTCGAGGCGCCCGTTAAGAAATCAACGCGATTACAGGTTTCTCTTTCACTGTTTTTATGGATACTGAACAAGAAAATTTTAGTGTTGATGCGACGAGTGACTCGATGTTTCGCGAGTTTAGCAGAGTTGATCCCAAATATGAAATGGTGGGGTTTAAAGGGATCACTGTACTTTTTGATTGGGAAATCATTAGGAATGGTTTTGAACTCAAATCAAAGATTTGAATCGTCGCGAAACCAAGTGGAGCTTATTGAATCGACAACGGGCATTCATAAGCTCAGGCTTAGGCTTAGGCTCAGGCTTAGGCTCAGGCTTAGGCCCAGCTCCAGTTAGCCCGGTAGCTCACAAGGAAATTCCCACATTGGTTGGCTGGCAAAGCCTATTGGCAACAATAAGATCCTAAGCCTGGTAAAGCCTGAGCACAAGGAAACCTAATAAGCCTAAGCCTGAGCCTAAGCCTGAGCCTGAGCCTAAGCCTAAGCCTGAGCCTAAGCCTGAGCCTGAGCCTAAGCCTAAGCCTGAGCCTAAGCCTGAGCCTGAGCCTAAGCCTAAGCCTGAGCCTAAGCCTGAGCCTGAGCCTAAGCCTAAGCCTGAGCCTAAGCCTGAGCCTGAGCCTAAGCCTAAGCCTGAGCCTAAGCCTGAGCCTAAGTCTAAGCCTGAGCCTAAGTCTAAGCCTGAGCCTAAGCCTAAGCCTGAGCCTAAGCCTGAGCCTGAGCCTAAGCCTAAGCCTGAGCCTAAGCCTGAGCCTAAGCCAAAAATTATTTACCAACTCGGTCTGGATTTCGAGATTTACAATTTCAAACAAACAAAAACAAAGCTCTTTTAAACAAAACAAAAAATTTCATTGGTGCTTGATACTAGTGGCGATTAGGGCTTCATTTCAGAAGGTCGCTGTAGCGTAATCGGTAGAGCGTCCGGCCCTGGATCTGCTGCTAGAAGGTTCGAATCCTCTCCGGGTTTTTATTTTCCTTTTCTTCCGATTTAACTTTATTTTTTTTAATAAACAACAAAAGGAATTATAAATTATTTTTAAAAAAACAAGAAAATTATATAAAATATATCATAAAATAAACTAAAATTGGGGAAAATGAATAATTAAATGCCGAAAATGATTGAAAGAAAGGAATTCAAGTTATGCCAACCTCTCGTAAAGCAATTAAAAATTTTTAAAATATATAATTGATAGTGAAGAGTTTTTCTAGAACCCCGTCAATTAGCTTTTGTGTTTCGTTGTTTGTGAAATGTAGCTTTCAGATAAATCCCCCAAAAAACAGCAAAGAGCCTGAGCTTCGAAAGCAAAGATTCGAACCAACGCCTGAGAAAAGCAACGCCTGAGATCCAACGCCAACGCCAGCGCCTAAATCCAACGCCCAGCCCTGAGATCCAACGACCAACGCCAACGCAGAAATCCAACGCCAACGCCAAACGCTGAGATCCAACGCAAACGCCGAACGCCGACATCCAACGTGGAACGTCGAAATCCAACGTCCAACCCTGAGATCCACCGCCAACGCCAACGCCGAAGTCCAACACGAAAGGCAAAATCCAACGCCAACGCCCAAATCCAATGCCCAATCCTGAGATCCAACGACAAACGCCGAAATCCAACTGCGACCGCTGAAATCCAACGCCGAACACCGAAATCTAACGCCAACGCTCTACCGACTACACTACACCGAAAAGCCAACTTGATTTAAGGAAACCCTTATACCCAGGAGTACCAAGCACCAATGAAATTTCCTTCACTAGAGTTATTGGCCAGTTTTTAATAACTAGGATTATCCTGTGCCTTCCAGAATGCTCGAATTTCTATTTGAAATTCAGACCGCTTATCTTAGCTGTGTAGGATTACGGTAGCTATGATACCGTAACCCTTCACTACTAAATAGAGGTACTAGCCAGTTTTTAATGACTAGGATTATCCTGTGCCTTCCAGAATGCCCGAATTTCCATTTGAAATTCAGACCGCTTAGCTTAGCTGTGTAGGATTACGGTAGCTATGATAGTTCTACCGTGATCCTTTACTACTAAATGGAGGTACTGTTTTTAATGACTTGGGTTATGTTGTGTGTTCCAGAATCCACGATTTTGTATGTTAAATCCAGGTTGCTCTGCTTATTAGCTAAGAATTACGGTAGCTATGAGATTTGCTTATTACCTTAGCCGAATATCGTTTCCTTTCGTTTCCAGTTCCTTGACTCGATGCGTCAAAACAGCGATCGCGATCGTCTACCCGTTTCCTCGCATTTCCTTCCGAAATGGGAAACTTTCGACATCGCAGGATCGCAGCAAAAAAATCGCCGCCTTTCGACAAGTCGACAAATGTCCCAAAACGAAAATTATCGATTTGCTTAAAATTTCTGTAATAATAAAATGCTTTTGAAATGTTTTTATTAAAAAATTTAATAAATTGGATGTCACAAGAAATTTTTCGCAAATTTTTTTCGCAAAAAACGCATTTGAATCATCGAATCCTAAAAATTGGATCTTGGATCAATTACCGTAACCCAAATTTGAATACCCTTTAGCTGAATATCTTTTTGGCAAATCTGGATGTCACAGCAGATTTTTCGCCAAAAAAAATCGCAAAAAATCGGATTTGAAAATCATCCGATCTGGAAAATTGATCTTGGATCAATTACCGTAACCCAAATTTGAATACCCTTTAGCTGAGTATCTTTTTGGCAAATCTGGATGTCACAGCAGATTTCAAGAGTTTCAAAAAGTACAAAATTTACATTTAAATGTTTCAGACGGAAAAGAGCTGAATGTCTGCGATGGCATTTCAGCCGCATTTGTAGTCTTACAGTAGTTTCTAAATGACATTTTGGTAACTATGGATGTCACAACATGCTTTAAAAAGCATTTCAGCCTTTCTTCTCACATTTAAAAAAAATTTTTTTTTTTTACTTTTTCACTTTCTGATCACCATAGATCAAAGGATCAAAATGTTCAAATTTGAAAAAAAATTTTTCCGAATTTAGCCACGTTGAATTCAAAGATTGAAACGCACAAAGCACAGACAAAAAGCCACTCATTGTGTTCGACCAAAAAGCGTTTCAGTTTATAACCGTCCTCCTCCTCCCCCCCGAACCTTCACATCACTTTCAAGCGACTAGAAACATTTCTGACACATTTTTTTCAATCAAATTCTCTGATCTGGAATGCACGGCAGATATTGGCGCTTTTGAAGTTCTTTTCAAATTCTTTTGAAATTCTTTTTCATTTTTCTGACACTATCGACTAGACGAATATATCCCCTGAATAACTTCATTTCATTTTCTTTCTTTTCTTTCTTTTCTTTCCCAAATTGGGTTTGATTTTCGAAATGCATTCCAGATCGCTGGCTTTTAAAGTTGAAATTAGGGATTTTAGGTGTAGAAACGAGGGAAATCGAGTGAACTCGTTTCGCTTGCTTTCCCCGCCGAGACTTTCCTTTTTTTCCTCGGTTTTCAAAATTTCCCGCGATCTGGAGCGCACAGTTTCTATTTTTCAAGGAATTTATTTTCAAATATCTAGTGGAAAAGTCTCGGGTTGAGTAAATGATTCAACGATCTTTTGGCCTTCCTGTTCTTCCTGTTCACTTCTTTCTAAAATTTCCGCGCGATCTGGAGGTCACACTTTGATTTCTTGACGTTTGCAGAGCTCCTTGTCCATTTTAAAAAACTAGTCTCCAACCTCCCCAACCTCCCCATTCCTCAATTCATTCAAATCCGATTTCCCCCTCCTTTTCCCCATCCAGCCATAGCTCAGTTGGTAGAGCGGAGGACTGTAGAGCGAGCAGCTATCCTTAGGTCACTGGTTCGAATCCGGTTGGCTGGAACTTTTTGTTGGTTTTCGGGTTTTCTTACTTTTTTTTGGAAACTATTTTTTTCGGTTTTTTTTGCCTTTTTAAGCTTTCAATCATTTTCGTGACCTCCATAAATTATTATTTGTTTGCTGGAAAAGCTCGAAAACGTTTGTAAGCGAAAATTTCGCGGTATTCTCAAAACTTTTTGAATTTCAATGGGAAAATGAGTCAAAAAAAGGAAAAAAAACAAAAGCCAAAGGGAATTTCCGAATTTCCTCAGCAATTACGCTTTCTGAGTCATCACTGATTACCTTTTTCTTGGTAATTTCTTTGCGAAAATCGCAATTTTAATCGTACTTTTCTGTACTCGAATTGTCGAAAGGAAAATTGAGAGAAAGAAACAAAATAAACAAAACATTTTCATTATTTGATATTCGTCGATCAATTTATGAAACAAATTCGACTTTAAACCGCCCACAAAACTCTGAAATTTTCATTTTATAAACATTTTACGAAAATTGCATTCAATCCTCAAATTTTGCGATAAATTTCACTTTCAAAAAAGTCTCGAAATTCAAAATTCAAAGTCGAATTTTTTGTGAAGTGAAGCACCTCCCGATATTCATTGCACCCCTCCGCCTGCCTCTCCGGTATTCCTTGTACATCTCCCCACCCCCGATATTCATTATATCCATCTCCATTAACTGGAAACATTCTAATTATGGATACTTGTCACTCTTGCACTCACCAAACTAAATTGAGATACTGGCCAGTTTTTAATGGCTAGGTTTATGCTGTGCGTTCCAGAATGCCCGAATTTACATTTGAAATTCAGACTGCTCAACTTAGTAGTGCAGGATTACGGTAGCTATGATACCGTAACCCTTTACTAGTAAATGGAGGTAATGGCCAGTTTTTAATGACTAGGATTATGTTGTGCATTCCAGAATGCCCGAATTTACATTTGAAATTCAGACCGCTTAACTTAGCAGTGAGATTGCGGCTCAAGATTGCCTCAAACCTTCAAAATCAAAATTCAGAGTCTAGCCAGTTTTTAATGACTAGGACTATGCACCTTTCTGTGTTCTCTTTTCTGCATTATAAAGCATTAAAAGCTGCTTTGTGAATGTCTTTTAGAGTAAAGTTCAATTTAACCTCGAAAACCTCAAACCATTTTTTCGCGGTGGGTAAAAAAGGAAAAAAGTATCGTAGAATTTGCAGAACTTTTTCATATTTTCATTTTTTTTCTTAGCTGGAATGCATGTTAACTTTTCTGAGAATCTGATTTTTGATTTGTCCAAAGGAAAAAGTTTTCAGCTTTCAGTGGATCCGTTGTGCGCCCCTCGAGGGCCCTCTCCCCTTCCTCTCTCTTCCCCTCTCTCTTCCTCTCTCTCCCTTCCTCTCTCTCTTCCTCTCCCCCTTCCCTCTCCCCTTCCTCTTCCTCCTTCCTCTCCCTCCCTTCCCTCTCCCCTTCCTCTCTCTCTTCCTCTCCCTCTCCCTTCCTCTCTCTCTTCCTCTCCCCCTCCTCTCCCTTCCTTTCCTCCTTCCTCTTCCCTTCCTCTCCCCTTCCTCTCTCTCTTCCTCTCTCTCCCTTCCTCTCTCTCTTCCTCTCCCCTTCCTCTCCCTTCCTTTCCTCCTTCCTCTTCCCTTCCTCTCCCCTTCCTCTCTCTCTTCCTCTCTCTCCCTTCCTCTCTCTCTTCCTCTCCCCTTCCTCTCCCTTCCTTTCCTCCTTCCTCTCTTAGCTGGAATGCATGTTAACTTCTGTTTCTTTCTGTGTTTTCTTTTCAAAGTTCAGACTGCTCAACTTAGCAGTGCAGGATTACGGTAGCTATGATACCGTAACCCTTTACTAGTAAATGGAAGGTAATGGCCAGTTTTTAATGACTAGCATTATGCTGTGCGTTCCAGAGTGCCCAAATTTCCATTTCAAATTCACACTACTCAACTTAGCAGTGTAGGATTAAGGTAGCTATAATATTTGCCAAATTCGTTTGATATGCAAATCCTCTTGTTTATCAAGAGGATCAGAGACACAGGACGAACTTTGTAACACGATAAAAAGCTACAGTAAGCGGAGTTTTCGTTAAATCCTGTGCAAAAATCAAATTCCTTCAAAATGTACATTTATCCGGGAAAGAAAAAAGGAAAAAAAGAAAAAAAACCGGAAGCGAACACTCGAGAAAATCCGCAATTTCGAGATTCCCTAACAACGGATTATAAAGTGATTTTGAGTCATTTAAAACAAAAGGATATTACTGGGATTTAGAGCCGATTGATAACTATAAGAATATAAGCGGAATTTCGTGAAAAATTTGAAAATTGAAAGCGTCGAGATCATGGGGAAATCAATCAATCAGCCGGAGTCGAATCCGCTAAATTTCAATATAACTATTTTAAAAACTATTGCAATAGCTAGTGTGCGTTCCAGCTTGAAAAGACCATCGAAAAGCTACGCCAGATTCCGTTTGTTTACGTCTTTTTTCACTCCGGTCAGCCTACCACCCAGTCAGCGTCGACGCTCAAATCGACTTCTGTTTGAAAGAATGGAACTCTAACTTTTACTGTGACTTCCATAACTCTCAAATCACTTCTTGAAAAGGGTTTTTGGTGTCATCCATCAACTAGAAATCACACGATGACAAAACGAGTGTTGCGAAAATGCGAGATGATGCGGATGATCGGTCGAAAGCTGGTAAATGATTTTCTGTGCGTTCCAGGAGTCCCAAAAAACCCAAAAAAAACCCCTTGATCTCCAAGGGGTTTAGTAGAAAATTTTGCAAAAACGATTCGCGAGAATCGGAGTACAAAACTTGCCTTTAAAAAAAAGGAGATTTCCCGAGATTTCCCGAGATTTTGTAAGATCGAAAATCCGCCGGAAGCAAACGTTTTTTTTTTTGGCGGGCAAATTGCCGCGGCTTTAATCTTTAATAAAAATGCGCGAAAAATTGATAATCTTCTTGATATTGAAGTTTTTTTCATTTTTTTTTTTCAACGAGCTTAACACAACGATTTTCAACTTTTTGTCGGCTTTTTTGTTTTTTTTTGGCGCTCGAACTTGTATACGGTACGGATGTCAGCAAAAAACGGATCTGTATTTATAAATTGTTTTCGGAAAGGGTTTATGCTCCTTGATAAAGGGTGTAGTCAGAAATTTTTTTCGCTTTTTTTCATTAGAACATTTCCCGGTCGATTTCGATATAAAAGCGCGAACTTTCAACGTCATTTTATCACTTTTAAATCTAGATTCCCGTTTACTGAAGCTTGTCGAGTACTGTAGCTTGTATCTAAGAGTACAGCAGCTTCAAGCCAAGCTACTGTAGCTTGTAGAGTACTGTAGCTTGTCTCTAGAGTACTGTAGCTTGTATCCAGATGTACAGCAGCTTTCAGCCTAGCTACTGTAGCTTGTAGAGTACTGTAGCTTGTATCCAGGTGTACAGCAGCTTTCAGCCAACTTAAACCCAGACTACTGTATTTCTAGATAGCTCTAGCTTTTATACAAGTATACAGGATTTTATACAGGACTCTAGGCAAGCACAGTACCCCTAGAATCCCAGCCATTACA